GAAGCGCGCTAGCGCGCGACGAATTTTCCAAGCGTTTTATCTACGACAAATGCAAACACCATTTGGCCGAACATCTGACAGTACAGGCGGTATGATCCCTGTTGAACCATGTTGATCGAAACGACAAAAGGTCACGCGTTAGCCTGCGTTGACAAAACGGTGCCACTTGAGTGGAATCGTGCGATTTCTCTTACCGTATCGTCGTTCGATCCTTCCATCGATTCTAATGGAAAATTGAAATTTCATTTCTGTTGCTTCTTAACAACGCGACATAACGAGAAATCGAACGACTCGTTGTTATTTCATTTCGCTCTATTTCCTCGTTTTATTTATACGTCTTTCGAAAAGCTATCGTCGATAGCGTGTTTAAACAGTTAACCGCGTTTCACGAATGAAACACATCGAGGTAAATGTCAATCTCGGTGTGTTCCATCTGTATATACTCGTCGTATAATATAAAACATTACCATTTACCGTAAAAACTCCAAATTTTAGTAAGAAGCCTTAAAAATGTTATTTAGTGATACGTTCGTTTTGTATCGTCAGTAAAACTGCTTTGTATTTTACGAAGAAAAATTTGATTTGTTTCTTTGTCATATCGGTTATTCCCTGTACAACGCATTCCTTTTTATAAGCTCAATTGATTATTTTTACCGATATATCGGGTATACCCGAATTGTTTGCGCAATTTTGTCTCCTTGCAAATTGAGTGGATGTTTTACTGTGTGTGTCGGGTATTCCCCGATAACGATCGAAATACAGGGTGGTTGATAACTGGTGGTACAAGCGAAAAGGGGATGATCCTACGCGAAAAAAGTCGAAAATATAGAATAACAATTTTTTTTTATTTTTTTTTTTTAATTTTTCCATCGAGACAACGATCTACAGTGAGATCCGTTTTAACGAGACGCGATAAAGCGCACGCGTACCCAGCGAAAATTCAAAGTCGATTTTCTCGAAAACAAAGCCTGAAACGAAAAATTTGTATCCTATATTTTCCACTTCTTTTTTCGCGTAGAATCACCCCCTTTTCGCTTGCACCACCAGTTACCTACCACACTGTATAAGACAGCAAATATAATACGATTCAGTTTTTTGGTAGAATGTGTGTCGAATAAATAGTCGAATATACAATTCTACGAACA